CCCCAGTGAGCAACGTGCCTGGATCTCAATGACAAGTGAGTTGAAGTGGGTCCTGTCTCTCTTTATTCCCTCTGTATATGTAATTAAAATTAAGTTAAAACCATAAACGTATCTAAATAACAATGGAGAAACAAAGCTAATACTAATCAATACCTAATAATACTGGCATATGAACATACAGCAACGCAGATTTGGAAAAAATAATGCTACTACAGATAAGGAAGGTTATTTCATAATTAAAAAGTTTTAATTTATAGATGGTACACGTAAACACAAAATAACTGCATCTGCTAACAAAGGTTCAAAACCAACAACAACATATGATAGTAATACAAGTGGAAAACATGGTGCCAGCCATACATTTCTTTCAAATGATAACAGAATAAATATACAATAATTTAGCTAGGAGTTAAAATTTTAAATAATATTATCAATTAATTTGACTAATTACAATTACATAAGTTTGATCAAAGTTAGAAGAAAACATTTTTAAGTTTACTCAAAAAGTTTGCAAGGGTAGATCATATTTTAGGTTGTGACACAATGCCCATAAATTATAAAGATATGTGAAACATGTAGATTGTCCTCTGATTAAAATCAAACAATAGTAGGAAGGAATATAAATCTGAGAACACAGCCTGGAATTTATTTCACTGTAGCATGCTCCACATAGTGCCTTTAACCACGGATTCAATCCCCAGCATGGCATAGAGAAAAAAGGAAAGAAAGTAAAATACCCACATACACGGAAAGCAATTAACAAAATTACAGTAACCATGATCAAAGCAATGAGAAAAGTTAAAAATGCAATTAAAAATTAGTTATAACTGGGTAAAATGAAAATAAAATGACCTAAACAATTGTTGTCATGCATTTGAGAAAATACTCATAGAAAACTGAATAGCAATTAATGTCCTTTTAGGAAATCTCCTATCATAGATGTAATCCTACTGCAAAAGAAACTTGAAACAGAAAAATCTAAATATATGTACACAGTAAAGAAATATTATAAAATAGTACATTAAAAGGAAAAAAACCAACAAAATCAACAGCTATTTCCTTGTATTGTAGTGTGTAGTTAGACCTCTATGCAGATTATTTTTCTTCAAAGGAGAAAACATAAATATGAGTAATACAAAGACAGTGTTATAGGTTGCATAAACATAGATATAAATGAGAATTGTACAGCCAAGTTCATAGGAATATAATGAGTCTTGGTTACTTTAGAGGTTGGATGGGAGAACCACTTGAGCCCAGTGTTGGAATCCATGTTGCACAAAATAGTGAGATACCAATTTGAGGGAAAAATTTAGCAAAAAGAAAAAAAATCACATAAGAGATTGTTATGGACAGGCTTATGTCATTTAATTTGGTAACTCGGGTAGTGTGGACAACTTGAAGAACAAAAGTAAATTCACTCAAGGAAACAATAGTATCCTTGTATACTTATATCAAAGACTTTGAAATTCCATTTTAAAGCTTTCCCACAAACTAAACTCCTTACCGGTGAACTTCTTTGAAAATTTAGTACATATTTAAGGAAAAAGTAATACAAATTATAAACAAACAGTCTCAGAAAATTTAAGAGAAGTCACTTCCTACGTCAAGGTCCTGAGTTCAATCTCCAGAACAAAACAAACAAACAAACAAACAAACAAAAAAACCCCAATGAATAAGCACTAATTACTCTGCTTTGGTGCTTTCTGCTTGCTTATCACATATAAGCCTCAAATTGCCAAGGATCAGGGCCTGATACTTTGGAAATGATCCCAATCAGTGCTAGTTGATGTAAAAAAGATCTGTCTCAGAATCCTGGGTGTCACTTCAGTGTTTCTGTTTGTGATTGCACCTTAACTTACTGTGCCCATTATTTGAGATTCTTCTCAAAATCATTTACTTAACAAATGAGGAACATTTCATGACGAAAAGACTGTTATTAATTATTATGAGAGTATTCTTATTTTCCAACCAACAAAAGATAAATTTTTCTAATGTCATGTAGATTTTTTTCCTTAAAATCAAATAATTTATATCTTTTACACAAATTTTGTATCACATCTTATCTCAGAAAAAATGCTATAGATAGTATTTATTTCTTTTACTCCTTGCATAAATGTAAACTATTATGCACACATTGTAACATTCATATGTATTTTTGCCTAACTGAACATAACAAGTGTGATTTGCATTCCATATTTGTTTCTATTTTTACTCAAGCAAAATAAATTAATAGTTAAATTATCAAATAAACTGTTTTTCAGGATGATTAATGCTGCACTAAAAAGACTCAAAATACACATCTGAGTACGTTTCCCACTTTTCCATCCCTCAGAGAATCTTCAATTTATATTTTAGAATTAAACTTCCAACCAATTTGGCACAAATGGCAAATATGAGTAATATTTTTTCTTTATCTATATCTTTTATATTATCATCTATATCTACTCTTTTAAGAAGATTTATAATAAGCAACTCTTAACTATGCTGTTTTGTTTTTGCATAATGTTAGATGTGTTTTTCTAGTAATTCCCATCATCAAGTTGATAAATGGATCTATGCCTTAAAAGAAGTACAGTCATTGCTGTTGTACTGAGCACCAAACTTAAGAATGTTTGCTTCTCAAACTTGATGTCAGCAAATCCAAAAGAAATCTAAATTCCACATTACTAAATTGTAAGAGTCTACAGAAAAGCAATAGAATTGATACATCATATTCCAAAAGGAATAATGAATATATCATGTTAAGATAAGGAACTAAATACAATAGAACCATCATTCCAAAATAATAATGATCAAGCTGTGTTTGGCTCTGAATATAATTTTGCACTATAAAAAGTTGAGAAAAAATAAAAATTGAGGAACAAATATGCATATGTATACATTTATCTATGTATACCTTGATGAGACAGTAACAGAAATATACACATGTGTATCTTGCTTTAAAATTTAGAGCAACATCTCCTAGTGGAAATTGGTGATGATGATGATGATAATGATTATACCCTTTGAGGATCCTATGGTCTTTTATCTGTCATCACTGACAATTTTTGTGACTTAATATTATGTTATGGAATAGAATATGAGATCCTATGGAATATAGACTTTGGGCATCTAACATTGAATCTCATGTTTTCTACAGGGTGTCAGTGTAATCTAGAAATTGAAACAACAGAAAAAACTTACAAGTACTGCTATGATATTGACTTTGTGAGAAAATTTCTGAAAAAGTACTTTACACAGTTTGGTGTAATAAACACAAAAAGAAACTAATTGTTCAATAGCATTTTCCTCCTTGATATTTCCTTTTACATAAACAATGTATTACATTGAATCATTCTTGGTGGCAACTTTTTATATCTACACTATTAAACATTCTTTCCATTAGCACTGAAATTCTGGCATACTCAGCTCAAGCTTTTGTTTTATGATTAAAAATCTATCTTACTATCAGAAGTTACAGTCCCTAATTTTGGTATGCATTCTTTAGAAATTAAAGAATTATAAAAAGTCTCTTTTCTCCATACATCATAATGGATTGATAATGTTGGCACATAAATAAGCACACTGGAATACTTACTGTGGTTAAGAAAAGGTAGAGTTACGTTTCACAAATGATTTTGTGTTATATAATTGGAAAGTGGAATAATAGCCAGAACGAAGGAGAATGTAGTTATAATTGCAAGTAGTAGTTATGGACAATAATTACCTAGTGTGAAAGCTTTTCTTGTCTACATGCTAAAACAGCTTACAATTCCCTCTATTTTAATAAGTGTTTAATATTGGATTTTATATATATTTGGGATGAAAATTATAGTGAATTATTAATCACATTTGCTTTTGATTTCAAAACTGGAAAACCAAGTGGTTGTTGGGATGCAATATTTCATAAGGGCTTTCCTTCAGTCTTATTTTCTTGCTTTCTATTCTTTTAAACTCTTTCATTTTATTTTAAAGAGATTAAGACAAAACAGGACATAAAACTTTTATGCTCCATCCAGCTAGAATGAAGTCTCTTTTCACGTATTGTTATATTATTTCAGATTTTAGTTATAGGAAAGAAATCATTTTGTTCTTTCACTTTCTGTCTGATATTTAGAATTGAAAAGTTTGGGGGGAGGGAAGCAAGGGAGGGAAAAATTCTGCGTTTTCCATCGATGTAGTTACTGGTAATATTATTTTTTGATTCTCAAAAAAATCCTCGGTTTTAGTGTTTTCTGGTTGTGGTGGTAAAAATGCTCTTCATTGACTAGTTTCAAGCTATCTACATGATTCTGAATTCAGTTAGAAGGAGCAAAACAAAGTTAATCTTGTAAGTCACTGCGACCAAGTTTCAGTACAAGACTTTGTGTGTGTGTGTGTGTGTGTGTGTGTGTGTGTGTGTGTGTGTGTGTGTTTCAAATATTGAAGAGAGAACAGAGGGAAATGTACAATGACTACCATTGTTGTGTAGGCCATGAAAGACATAAATACTAAAATTAATAAGTAGGTAAGTGAGTCAAAAACTTCCAGAGTACTAGAATTACTTAGAAAAAATAATATCATGGTGTAACATAAATTAGTTTGGGGGCTCTGATGGAGGAAATATTCTTTGGCTATTTTATTGGTAAAGTCTATTTTGTGAAAGTGCTATTTGGTTTTAAACTTATGTGATATCAGGAATATGCCATATAAAATATTCAGCTCAGCAGTATTAAAATAGCCTCGAGGTGACTGAGAGATGGAGAAAAGAAGCAAGGAGGGATGCAAAGCATGAGTTGAGAAATAGGACAGATTTCATGCAGCCCACTTCATATATGATTATCAGTAAAATTTTAGGCCACAAGTCCACACTGTAGTAAGTGTTTACACATACCTCTAGTGTGACAGTTTTAGGGAAAGACTTTCAGAAAATTATGAGGGTTTCTGCATTTGGCATTGAGGGAAAAAATAACTTAGCATATGAGATTTTGTTCCCCCAAACTTTTAACATTATAAAGTTATATTAGGACATTTTTTGTTAGCTTTCTTTCAGCACCAAATGACAGCTTTCTGCCTGGCCCTCAGAGGAACATGGAGCATTCGAGGATAAGAAGGGAAGACATTAGAGCACAGGCAAAGAGATGATGATGCCACAGAAGAGATACAAGATGCACTTTTCAAAGAGTAGGTATCACAGCTATATTTTTATAAGAAACTTATAATTTAAAATGTTCTGAAGAAATCAGATTATGAGGTAAACATTAAAGCAAATTAATCAATTCACTGAGCTGACTGAATTTTTCTTCCCTGGACACTGAAAGGGAAATGCCTTTCTGAAGACTCAATCTAGGCCAAACATCAAAGAAAGTAAGAATTTATTTACAAATATTGAAAATGTATAAAATCTTCCAAAAAATAAAATATGGCTACTGGGAAATTGGTAAATTAGCTCAGGCTGTCTGCAGCAAAAGACAATGAAGTTGCCACTGAAGTACGTGTTCCTGGTCTTCTACTCGTGCTCCATAAAAATGTCTACAGGTGAAAAGTAGACTATGTACTTATTAACAAGCAGATATGCTTTTCTTAATCTCTTGCACACTAAAACGTAAGAACTTCTAAAATAAGAGTAAAACTTATGACATAAATATCAAACATTTTCTCTATTGCTTTTACTTCCCTTGAAAAATCTTTGTATAATGCAGTATGAAAGATTAGACTGTCTGTAAAATGGGACTTTACAGTCAAGATATCCAATTAGGAGGGAGAGATCAAAATTAAACCACATAAAGGACGTATCGAGAAATGCTGTCTAACAAATGCTTGCTGATTGGCTCTGTATGAACTGTGCAAAGGAACAACACATGATGAAAGTCAGTCTGTTTTTTGCAAGTTGGATCGCAGTGTTGACAGCAGAAAAAGAAAATGGGAAGAATTAGGAGGATTGGACAGAGAGTGCCTTCAAACTTCCCAAGGAAAATGGGATAAAGAAAATACTTCATCAGCAAGGTTCAAGTCCAAGGTGATGAGCAGGAAATGTGGAGGGAAAAAGACTCTGAAAAATAAGGAAATTATCAACAGAAGAATGGAAAAGTAGAAAAAAGTCACCAAGAAAGGGTCCAACAGTACCCAAGAATAAAAGGGCAACACAAATCATCCATCCTTCATCAAATTGCCATTAATTTAAGAAGAGGAGATAATTTAAAAATAACTCACTCTTATGTTGATTGTGAACTGTTGTAAAAGTTATATTACTGCAAAAAACTTCTTAGCAAGTAAAAGCCATGGAAAATGTGGCCTACATATCAAAAATACAATAAATGATACAATGATGTTTTGCATCAGCAACTAACAAAATGCACATCACATAGATCAGCTTTTTGTCCAAGCAGAGATTATGCTGAGGGCTTCCTGTCCAGAAGGATGACTTATGGAGATATGACGAGTTGGCAGTAAATTACTGTGATTGGGAAATGCCTTGGCATTAGGGCGCCCGCAGTTAATTCTCTACAAGTGAGGAGGCTGTGTTTTAAAGAGCAGTGAGTAGGGCAATGACAGAGTTCTCAGAACTAAGATCAGGAATACGAATACTTTGCTATCTAGCTCCTGTTTTTCTCCATCCACAAATATTTGAAAATATTTTCCTTTCTTCCTAAAATACAGATCATGAAACTATTCATGCAGGACAGCTAGCCATGGCAAAAACCTGACTACGGTCTGGTAGAAGAAATAGAGATTTACAGATTGAAACATTTATCTATCTTTTTGCATGTTGACAGTCATTATGTAGTTTATGGTACAAATACTTTAGGAAAAAAATATAGTATAGTAAACCAATAGTGTCACACTTCAATTACTATACCTAAGACCAGTCATCAAACTAATTTATAGAAATTGATATAATAGGGGGCTGGGGATTTAGCTCAGTGGCATAAGAGCCTGCCTTGCAAGTAGGCACCCATGAGTTCAATCCCTGGTACCAATAAAAAAGAAAAAAGCCAAAAAAAAAAAAAAAAGAAATTGACATTATATATATATTTATATAATTAAATTTGGTTTATTTGGAACAACTATTAATGCATAGAAAGGATCGATTCTGTTCTCTTTCTCCCCTTACTGGGAAAGAAGCTGTCTGAAGTTGGTGTGTGCAAGCAATCATAATTCTAAGTAACTTTCTATGTCAAAAATATACAGGTTAATTGCACTGCAAGCACATTATATTTGATATTTAGTGATTAACTCTTATTTACTAAAGACATTAAAATTTTAAAAGAGAGAAACTCTAAAAATTGTAATTTAGGGAGTCAGCTTATGATAATTTAACTTTCTTGAAAATGTCGTGCTAGAGAGATAATGAAGAATTTATACAATCTTCCAAATATTCCCTATCACTGGTATCTGTATCTTTACAGGAATACAAATGATCATGATATAATCCTTCATATTGTTAAGTAGATGTATACATATAAAAATATATTGATGTATCTTAGGGTTATATATATATATATATATATATATATATATATATATATATATATATATCCTAAAATATATATAGGATATATATATCCTATTGATGTATCTTAGGGTTATATATATATATATATATATATATATATCCTAAAAATCTATCTATCTATCTATCTATCTATCTATCTATCTATCTATCTATCTATGTGTCTATGTATCCTTGAGTCTATCTATCTAAAACCATAGACAATTTCAGACACAATAAAGAGGAATTCGCTATTAGAATATTTTCTCATTTGCTGTTATGTTTTACCAATTTGTCCTCAGGAATTTCATATCTAAAATGTTACACATATACTTTAGAAATATATTCACCTTAGGAGAAAAATGAAGCCATTCTTAATGATGTGAAAAATTCTCTTTTAAAATCCAGGTACTGAGAAAATTATTTAATCCACTCTTTTACACCAGGAGCAATTTATTTAAGAAGGAATATTTACTTCACCTGTTATATATCCCTTATCAGTTCACAATATGTTATGAAAAAATGTCTATATAACACACCCTGAATTATACTTCTACTATTTAAAAAAAGACAGTTTTGTGTTCATTTCTGAGTATAGAACAATAATTTTTAGACAAATCACAGGAACAAAAATAAACCACACAAATAAAAATAAATCCTTAAAGCATACTTTTTATTGTACTAAAGAATATCAAGAGAATAGTAAATAATATTTTCTTTTATTACTCAGTCACAAACTTCCTAACTTGGATGGTAAAGTCAAATGCTTTGTATTACTCTAGAACCAAAATATTATTAACTTAATATATTTAAATCAACCTCACATCTTTTATGAATGAGCAACATATTAGAAAATAAAGTCCTAAAATGAGTTTTAAAATATAATATTAAATGCGACGGAAAAATAAATGTCAAAAGGTGGTGAATAGGTTCCTAGCATTGCCAAAATGCTTGCAAGTTTATTTCCACAGATATTAAATTTATATATTTTGTCAACTCTAACAGAAAATGTTTTGGCAAAATGTGTTTTATGGTATGGTTTGCAGGATAACAACTTCTATGTAACACAAATTAAGATAGTGACATTTTAGACAAAATAAGATCAGAAAAGACCAATAAGTGTTACAGGAGTCCTCTCTCTCTCTCTCTCTCTCTCTCTCTCTCTCTCTCTCTCTCTCTCTCTCTCTCTCTCTCTCTCTTCGTGCTAGTGATGCCCTTTTGGTCTAGGATAAAAAAAATAATTTTCAGTGATTTAAATTCTTTTATAACTTCACACATGTCCAAATGTGTAGAGTTACAGATTCTCATATTTAGTGTCCACTAACACCAACACTAATTTTAATCCTTATTGTATAAAGTCCCTATTTCCATTGTCCATCTAATGTATCTTTTGAACTTTTAGAGTATTCGTGAAGTTCAATTTTGGGGGAGTTTTTGCTGTCTATCACAGTCCAACTTTTCTGTTTGTTCTAATAATTGACAACATAGTTCTGTTTGAATATTATCATACTGTTTTCTGATTATATACCTTGCTACAAACTCATAAAATAAGAATAATGTAGTGTGTATTATATTTCATATGCCTATACAAAAAACAGACCATCAGACAAGTGTAATTTTGTACTTAATGAGCATCTAACCTATCCTTCGTAATATCCATATGTCTGTTTATTATCACTGAAACTTTACAAAGGAAATATATACTTAATATTACATTAATGTATGGAATTTTTTGTATTTACTCTTTAATAATTTCAAATTTTTTGTCTTATATATTGCTAAATTAATATAACCTCATAATAGTCTAGTATCTTACTTTTTTATTTTGGCCATGATATATTAGAAAATATGTTTGCAAAGGCAATATTAAGGAGGTAACACTTTTTTATTTTGCAAAAACTGTGCTTCTTGTAAAATCATGGTATATTTTAGGTGAGCCAAAACCATAGTTATGGTTAGAGGCAGTAAATCAAGCTTGAGCCACTTATCTCTGTGTGGTTTATGACAGATAAGCTCCTTGTCCAGCAGCTCATGTGTGAGCAGAGTTGTTTCACCCACAGATGATTTATTTTGGGTGATCTACTTGTCCAATGAAGATTTATTGCAGAGGATCCACTCTCCACAGTGATTAAACATGTGCGGTTGGCATGTACAGAAGTCAGCAAGCAAAACCAAGACAAATAGGCATAGATTATCCGACCTAGAACCACTGAACCCAAGCATGAAGCAGAAATATGAGTGATGTCTTGTGAAATCATAGGAGTCCTCTTTTAATTATACAGTTTTATACTATTTCATTACTCTATAAAAATGAGATTATAAAATTAGGAATACTATTGTCACTTTCAGTGGATCAAATACTGTTTTGAATTATTGAACATGAGCTGTGCCAATGTGCGCTGTTTAGAAGTTTTAACTGATCTATATATTGTCAGGTTAGGAGTCATGTCAGTCAGATCTCTTTAGTCTATGAACTAATGAAAGATTTCCTCTTGTTTTGTTGGTTTAGTTTAGTTTTGTTTTTGTCTTTTTGAGACAAGTTTGGGCTGGCCTTGAGGTCACTGTGTAGCCCAAGATGATCTTGAACTCACAACGATCTTCCTGCCTCTGTCTCCCAAGTGCTGGGATTATAGGCATGAGCCACCACAGTTGGCTAATAGAAGGTTTTCAATGAACATACTTACATTTATAAAAATATTAAATTATTGCTGTAATTTTTCTAGTAGTTATTCTTTATTCTTGTTACTTATTAAATTGTTATTTATCAAATACTATAGATATTAAGTAACCTTTTTCAAAGAAATTCAGACCTGTATTTATATTTTCACATGGTTTGTCACACAGCAGAACTTTTGAATTATATTCGATTTCACAACATAGAATTTTTAATTTATAAATTATGATTTTTATTGTATATAATTTCAGCTAACACATTATCTTGTAGATTTCTCTTATATAATCATCTAAGAATTTTATATTTTTCTATTTTATGTATTTACTTGAAATGTACAAGGCATCTGTGGGTTTTTTTCCCATCTTTTTGAGACAGAGTCTTGCTATGAAGTTCACGTTGACCCTGAGTTCACTTTGTAGCCCAGGCTGTTCTTGAACTTGCAACAATCCTCCTGTGTCAGCCTCCTGTGTGCTAGGATTACAGGTGTATACCATGCCCAGCTAATTGTGTTCTTCTTTCTTAAATTATTAATGTAGATGATCAGTTATCTCAGTGTGTGAGGACAATCTTTCTCAGATAAGTTTACTATACCTTTGCGAATGTTTTTATGAGCTTTCTGAGCCTTCTGTACCATTGATCTATTTGCCAATTCTATTCCCCCACCCCCCCAAATCAAACTTTTTGATTATCATAGTTTCGTAGCATAAATTAAGTCAGATAGTGTCCACTCTCTAACTTTGCTGTTCTTTAAAGTAGTGTTATAGTATTAGATATTCTGATTCTTGTGTTTCTTTTTAATTTTGTTTTTGTTTCGTTTTTGCAATGCCAGAGATAGAATCCAGGGCCTTGTGATTACGAGACAAGAACTCTACAGCTGAGCCATATCTCCAGCTCTCTTTATAATTCTGAATCTCTTTGTCAACACCTAAATATTCAGCATCTAAATGTAATCTGAGTTATAATAAACATTTAAATTAGAAAGAATGGATATCATGATGAATTTGAGTATTTTTATGATTTTTATTTATATTCATAAAAACACTGTCTCATGGTTGGATTCTGGAAACTTTTGTTTTAGTTTACATTAAGCAAATTTTAAAGCATTGTATTTCTCTGTTTTTACTTTTATAAAGAGTCAACTGTTAAAATCTAGCTTATCAATTTAAATTTGGAGATATATATATATATATATATATATAGTGATGCACCATAATTGAGACAAGATCAACTTTCTACACTCAGAATATTCATTTTTTTCTTATATGAAATTGAGCATCTTGAAATCTAGTAGGCTCCGAAATTACTGATTTACTCTTTTACACAGTAGTTTTACCTTTTCTGTAATTGCATACATGTTGAGCTTTATAACACATCATATTAGGTTTAGTTTCATTCTTATAGCAAAGCTTTTGTAATTCTTAGCAGACAATGTACCATATCCATACAATTGAGTAGTTATTGATTTGAGCGAGATTTCTACCCAACAACATCATTTATGAATAAAAATATTTTTTCCTTCTAGTAATTACACATTTAGATTGTATTTCATATCCTCTTACATTATCTAGGATTTGCATTTCAGTATTGAAAAGTAAAAATCAGAGTAAATATTTTGCTTTCATTTTGAACTTAGTGACATTTGTATATTTATTTATGCTGAATGTACTTTTTCATTTGTTTGACTTTCAGTACGGTGAATAAAGCCAGTTTGGATGATTGAGCTCATAATTTTTAACTAATGTCCACACTCATAGTGTTTAATTAGGGTAAGTACCTATTGAAGGAATTGCTGAATCATTTCATTAGTGTATTTTTATGTGTATAAGAAATTACCACAACAATTTCTAGAATGATTGTACAGTTATTCAAATCATCCACTAGATCTGATAGCTCTAACTCACTAGAAACACTTGGAATTACTAGCCTTTTTAATTGTGGCAATTGTCGATTATACATAGTGCTACTTCACTGTGGATTTAATTTGAATTGTATTAGTAACTGGCAATATTGAACTTTAAAATTTTTACTCATTCTTACATCACTTTGGTCAATATATCTTTTTAAGTGCTTTTCTCATTTAGAAAAAAAATTGACTGTTTAGCTCCTTGTCACTTACTTTTAGGATATTTTTACCATATTCTGTCCTTTTAATTTCCTTGGATATTTGAATTTTGTACTCTTGCACTATATCTTCAAATCCACTTCCACGTGATGGACTAGTTGTTCTGTTCTCTTAGAAATTTGCATCCTTTCCTTCATCCGAAACACAACTTGAAAACTAGAGCTCTGTTTTATAAACTTTTCTATTATTTATGACAATATGCTAATTTCTATAGCAATGGATTATTCATGAGTAAAAGTTTTGTCCAATTGATTATTGTAATTGTCTTTAAAATCAGGAAGAACCATGTAATGAATGGTTTTGGGTAGTTGGCAACCACTTGAAAAAAAGTAGCTTTCTCCAGCCTTAGACAGTTAAATCATTTATTGTTATTCACATATAGTAGATCAATGAATTATGCATAAAAATTTCAAAATGTGAGAAACGATTATTTTCTTTATTCTTTTTTCTTTTTTTGTCTTTTTTGTTTTTATCTCTATCAGGGATCGAACTCATGACTGCCTGCTTGCAAGGCAGGTGCTTATGCCGCTGAGCTAAATCCCCAGCCCCGAAATAATGATTCTTGAGAAACAATTTCCCAACATAATTCAAATAGCGAATAAGCAACAAGAAAAAAATGAATACATGAAAATATATTTAAGATATTCAGTTATTTAATCCTCTTCTGAATAAAATTTAGAGTCACAATAGGAAAGAAGCATAGATTAGAATTTATTAATTTTTCAACTACTATTTTAAAAAGATTTGAAAAACTTGTTGCTAATTAGGAAAGTAAGTGATCTCTCTCTGTCTCTCTCCATCTCTGTATATATATATATATATATATATATATATATATATATATATATATATTTATGTATTTATATATGTACTATATATATTTATACATATACATATATATTTACCTATAGATAGGTGATAGATATGCTAGCTTACATATCATATATGTGTGTTCATATTTATCCCTGAATTCAAAATTATCCCAAATTGATAAAAATATAAGATAAAAAGAGCTGTTCCTCAAAAATGAAAAAGAATCAAATTACCAGTTGACACATACTAAATTCATTTTTATTACCTTTCAAATAACATTGAAAATTTGGGCTTGCCTCCCTGCATTAAGTGCTATGCTGGTCATGTGTATAACTACAGGCTGATAAAATTATCTACTTGGTTTAGCACAATTTCTTTTAATTGCTTGTTAATGTGACATAATTTTAACTAGCTCTTTCATTGCCATTAAACAATGCATCCTGTAATCATCAATGTGCAAATATTTATGTGTTACATGTGACATAGTTTGGATTTAGAATGCCTCAGAAAAGTTTATGTTCTAAAGACATGTTTCCACCATAAAGTATTGTTGAAAGGTGATGGAAGCTTTAGAATTTGAGGACTGATGGAAATAGGCCACTGAGGATATAATGGACCCTGATACATCCCCCAGCTTACTGCCATAATGTTAGTGGCTTTGCTCCTTATACATGCCCTTTCATGGCGCTCTGCCTCCCCATACACCCAGAAAAAGATTAGCCAAATGAGTATGGATTAAAACCTCCAAAACCATAAGATAAAAATTTTATTTCTTTGAGTTGTCTCTGTCAGGTATTTTGTCACAGTGATAGAAAGTTGCAACATATGATGAAAATCAATGGAATATTTGTATGTTTTTATTGAAATCCATAATACAGCCCTCTTTTTCTTTGCACCTATTCTCTAGAAATTCTCTAGAATTTCTCTAGAATTCTAGAAATTCTCTAGAAAATCACAGAAGAAATACAAAATGATATTTTTGTAAACATCATTTATCACATTTGGTAAACTGATCCAGAGAATATAAAATTTATGGCAGACACATCCAGTTGATTGTCTAATAGCCATTCTTTCATCTCTTTCCTGGTAGTAAAAATTTTACTCCCCGCCCCAGGTATTGTGTTTCATAAGCTCCTTCAGAGCTATGGAAGAAGAACAGAGTGGGTGACATAAATGTTGTGCAATGCACTCTTTAAGTGTGGGAATGTAATGCCACCATAGCTAACTTGGAAATAATATTTAATATAATTTCTCACTATATATGATTGTCTTTTTTTCTAGTAATGAATGTGAAAGTATGTGACACATTGTCAGGTACTCATAATGCCATTCTTAAGGTGGCTATAAACATACTGGGAAAATAACTTAAGTATTTGAATATTTTATATTGCTGTGGTTTTCACTTTCCTGAAAATGCACAGCCTGTAAATATCATGTCATGTGAGTTAATATTCATTTTATTGTTTGACAAAACTGACATAAAACTGTAAATCTGTGAAAAAACAAAGAATTGCTTACCACTATGAAACATTTTGCTTCTCTTAAAATACTAAGAATGGCACCAAAGAATATTATTTTGATATGGAAGACAAATCTAGGCATGATGATAAATATGCACACTTATGCATAGCATATGTAACATTTGTCTATGCCTATTAATGTCTATGCACTTAAGAAATACACTTTTTATGCATGCAGGTATATGATATATCTTTAGAGCACAGACAAACTTTTGCAGACACATGCCCTAAATGAACAACCATTATAAGTATAGAAAGGGTCACAAGGACTAGGATGTAGATTTCCTGAAAGTTTTCTATATAATAATGTGCAACTTAAAAATATTTATTGCATATACTGAATATGTGCCATATGAGCATGCATTTAATTATTAAACATTAATATAAAAATTTAATCAATACAAATATGAATGCAAACATTATCAAATTAATAAAGCTAGTTATGCAAGTGTACAATAATGCTGCACAATATATAAAACTGAATATGTTGTTTAAGAATGATAAACATATGAGCACTTAGCTAGATTATTACTTCTATTAGATTGTAGTAGATTGCACACTATCAAATACTAAAGGTAAAGAATAGGATAAGAAGAGAAACTGCTTCGTAGGCCACGTGGAAGAGGTTTCTAGTCTCATCCATATGATTTTTACATGTTTCATGTCTGAGTTATCAGGAAAGAGAAGGTCCACTTGCCTCCCAGGAATCCATCAAACACTGTCAGTCATAGTCTCTTACTTCATATTCCAAATTTAAATGCCCTGAGCAATCTTTATCCTTAATAGTTGAAAAGTTAAGGGTTAGCATAAGAAGGAAGTGAGCACTATAATGATTTAGGTACCCTTTGATGTACTAAAGTGCTAATTTACCAGATGGTACCCTAGAGTTTTAATACATTTCTGGAGGTGCCTAATTAATCCCATATTATAGCAATTAACAATAAAATACTACTTTTGCTTCCATAAATTTTGGAGTGAATTTTGTTAACAATTTCAGTGAAGTAACCTATATTTTATCATTGCTTTACATTTTTAAACACTGTTAATCTATTCATAGGACTTTGTTGATTCATTTTTCAAGCTACTAAGTTAATATTATTAAATTATGGAAGAAAATGAATCATTACTAGCCTCATGTTCATGATATGACCTTACAGCTAAATTGAATCCCGGCAGTTCAGATAATAAGCCTATTTTAAGATGGCCTAATACAATATGAATTGTGCTATAACTTGTTTCTGAAAATTGCACATGGATTGATTAGAATATGGGTTAGAATGGTGTGACTTGTGCTAGACTAAATCATAAATTTTAGTTAGGGTAAAAAATAAAAACAAAGTATGAATTTGTAATAAGAGTGGTAGGTAAAATTACAATTAAGTTGTGTCTAATGATTAAACTAGTAGATATAATTATAAAGTTAAATTACTACAACCATAATACTGAATGTATTAATAATATATTTGGTACTATGAAGATGCTATTTTACTTTGATAAAATTTTAGATGTGAGAGTTTTCTGTGCATCAGAATTGCTCCAATTGACCTTTTTAAAAAAGTGAATTATGAACACTAAAGTATCAGGGCCTTGCAATGTTAACTTATAAAGTAGTTTCAATTCTTATGGTTGACTTTGGTAAACTACTTATTAATTTAATTCAGTTTTTCTCTGTAATATACTCCTCATCACAGTTAATACCAACTTTCTATCACTTTATACAGTTCTGAAGTTGAGACCATGACAGCCCACAAGATTGTTAATTTAGTTCTTTAACATCTCTCTCACCTATATGTGCCATGTATATATATGGATATGTATTTTATTTCTAGTATCTCTACCTCTGTATTTTTTCTTTATAATATATTTATTTTCTGGATCTCTTGTTCTGACATGCACATTTAAAGGAATCCTAACATTTGACTCACAATTTTTGATGATTTGCAGAATATTTCATTGCTGGCTCACATTTTCATTTATGTCATTTGCCATCATTTATACATACAAAACATGTGATTGAGGAACTTCAATTTGCTGCAAAGTGAGCAGAACTCAATACATGGAAAAGCTAGCCAGTCATTTACAATCTGATTACAAGACCAAAGAGACAGACTCTTGCTTGGAATAAGCTGCTATGATATGATTGTAGGAACATGTTTGCGCTGAATACTTTCTTTTTCTTTTTTCCATACTAGACATTGAATTCTGGGCTTTTGAATTGAGCTTTACAACCTTAGGTGACTGTAATCATTTACTTACGTGTGTGCGTGTGTGTGCACGCACATGTGCCTGTGTGTGCATGTGGGTATATTAG